GAGCGCAATATGCGGTGCATTAGCATTTTGTGAGGAAAGTGCGTGTACAGCAGTCCATGTCATCTGGTGTGGTCCCCATCAGCACACCTGTCAGCTGATACGATACCTTGTGACCATCACTCGGCAGCCAACAGCTGTTATACCTCCCTCCGTCCAGGACAAGCGCTGGTAGCCATGGTGCGTGCATGAGACAACTATCTCATGTTGTGTGCAGAACTCAAGCAACCCAGCAGCACAGCAAAGTAAAGCACGACAATTCGCAATTTTTCTGACGTACACCCGGTGAGCAGTTTTACACTGGAATAAAAGGTAGTGCCAGCTCTAAAAAAAAATCCATCATCTTGATTTTAGAACGGGAGTCAAAAAGATTTTTTTCTTGCATGAATCTGGTTGTAGATTCGAGTCCGCTGTGTTACGTTCTGAAAGATCGTAATCCCCCCCCCACGGGGAACGGTACCATGCACAGGGTGCAGCTCACCAGTAGTGTCTTCGATACCGATATGAGGGGCCCCTGTCATCGAAGACTAGGTCTGTTGAAGTCATGTATCCGAGGTGATAAGTGATTGAATTTTGCACGATTGCGAGCGAGTCCAACCTCTGCTGTAAAAAAGATCGTCAGTTGAAGCAAGCAGCAACTGAATCAGAAGCAAACGCCCCTGCGTGTAAACAAAACTAAAGTAATCCCTACTCCTCCACCATGTCACAGAGGTTATCACGCTATCGCTTAGGGTAGCTCACTCATGTGTTAGCGTAACAAGCACTGGCTAGGGTTCAATTAGTTCGTAATCCCCCCCCCCACGGGGAACGGTACCATGCACAGGGTGCAGCTCACCAGTAGTGTCTTCGATACCGATATGAGGGGCCCCTGTCATCGAAGACTAGGTCTGTTGAAGTCATGTATCCGAGGTGATAAGTGATTGAATTTTGCACAATTGCGAGCGAGTCCAACCTCTGCTGTAAAAAAGATCGTCAGTTGAAGCAAGCAGCAACTGAATCAGAAGCAAACGCCCCTGCGTGTAAACAAAACTAAAGTAATCCCTACTCCTCCACCATGTCACAGAGGTTATCACGCTATCGCTTAGGGTAGCTCACTCATGTGTTAGCGTAACAAGCACTGGCTAGGGTTCAATTAGTTTCTTCCATTTCATGGTCAGTTTCATCCATTTCATGGTCAGGTTCATGGTATCTTACCATTGGATTCAAGTTGGGGGCTAGCAAAAGGGATACCGTCCCTGTGGGTCTAGCCCTGTGGGTCTAATCAAGGTGGGATTAGCAAGGGGGGTCTACCTCATGCATTGACTCACAACTGGTTGCTGCTTAGCGATGTGGGTCAAAGTTCCTCTTCCGAGATTGGCCGTGTTAACAGTGAGCGATCACCCAAAACACGTGTTGAGGCGGAGCTCTAGAGGGGCTCCGCCAATGATTCAGGTACACCCTAGGGTATACCCTAGCCCTCCTCAAACCATCGTGAAATGGAATGATTCTCAGTATTTAGCGCCCGTTCATGCTACCGTGACATTCGAATGTTACCTGCATAGTTGACAGACGCAACACAATTGTGGGGTTGCACCATACATCCATCTCTATGTCTCTGTAAGACGGTCAATCAAGATTGGAACCAGGGGGCAGAACCAGGAAGTTGATCCATCAGCTGAGAATTGGCGAAAAAAATGTCATGTCTATACCCTCAGGCGGAAGGAAGGGGCGAGAGGATCGGGATCGGATGGTTTTGGTATTGATGGTTTTGTGCTGTCATCCCGGGAACATTTTCACAAAAAATTAAGGCTCAACGCGTTGGAAAAGTATGCAAAACGGGGTAACAAATTGGCTCAACGGCCGCCGGTGCGATACTAAATCCTATACCGTAGGCAAATATATGCAGCAGTAGCCCGTGCTCAATCATTTAGATTATGTGAGGCATTGGACCTAGCTGAAATACGTGTTTCGTACGAGCGGGCCAGCACATGTATTTTCTCCAAGCATCCATGACGTCGAAAGGAGATGTTTTGTGTGGGATTCGTCGGGCCTCAACAACACTAACTCGGCTCTTAATCAATCATGTAGCGCAACTGTGGGGGTTTACCTGCGTTGTGACAGGCACCATGCATTATAATGCATAATCGCTTTCAGATCATCGGTGGAATTCAGAGGCGTTTTTCCCATGTCCATGAAACAACCGGACATGTATGTCCTGACAAATCTCCGCTCGCGCACGCGCCGCGCGCGGAGATTTCCGCGTTTACCTGTCGTCACAATCTGCAGTATCTCCTTCTTCGCGACAACGGCTACCAGAATCACTTTCGCGAAGGACCGGCATGGAGAGTATCAAAGAATCCACAACTTGAGCTTGCGAGGGGCCAAGGGCCAGGAAGGTGGGCTCAAAGGCGTTGGCGTCTGGGTTTGCGTCCAGTACTACGAATCGTATCGCGACTCGTCTTGTCTTGGACTGAGTACAGCCCCGCTCAAAAAGGCTGTGGAATGCTTCCACTTGCAGCTAGTTTTACTGAGCACGATGATTGCGTCGCGGCCATACCATCGAATAACAAAATGACCCCACTGCACGTTCCAAGACGAAAGATCGTCTGATAGAGTCTCTCGTTGCTCCATCAAGCCTCCTGTTGTATCACGAACACGAACAGCGCGTCATTGTAAAGCCCCTGTGCGACGTACTACGCCGTGACCCGTTTCAATCCGGCAGGTGAGAAACAAAATGTAAGCGATGACAAACAGCAGAGAGAGGCGCGCTGTTTGCTTTGTCAGCGACCACAGGCCCGCGGTGGCCGGTGTGTTTCATCCTAGCCAGTCTTCAGGTCGGGACACATTCTTTGACAAATGTATCGGCCTCGAACTCTATTCGGTCTTCGACAACAAACTATTATTTTATTTTCTTGGAGGTTTCACTCGGAAATTCATGCTGCTGAAAGAAGGGCTGTTTTAGATGGTTGAAACGTCGGAATAACGTGTAGACGGAGACGCGTCTTCTCGTCGAAAAGACACAGCAAGCTGTCGTTTTTTTTGCGAAATGGCAGGAATTGTATGTAGCTGGCATCATGTATTGGAAACCTGTGGTCACCAGAGGAAGAACCCCTGCCGTTCGGGGGGTGGAAAGCACGTACTAGCTGAAGCAAAATGTGTACGAGAACGAGACTGGAGGAGGGCGCTGGAACAGAGAGGGTAGAAGATATCCACCACATGCACTGCTGTTGTGTATGCATACATACTTACCCAACATAATATTGTAGCGCTGCAATTATTTCGACGACTCATGCTCCACAGCAGCATGTCGACCATGTACAGCAGTATTGGCATTCCAGAGACTACAACTGTGTCGTCCACATAACAGGAGCTCATACAAAGCTTTTGACTATGCGTGCATTCCCCGCTGGATTCTCGTCTGGCTTGTAGCGGACGGTCCCAGATCAGAGCTATCTCGCGCCCTCACTTCGCCTGCTGCGGCGAAACCGGCACACCTTTGGCGATATTTTTAGTCAGGGTCGCACGGCCAAAGTGCTTCTCTAAAGCACCCAGAGGTTCTTTATCCCATAGACGTGTCAAAGGGACGTCCGAAACACGCCATAAGAGTATACAGTAGCGAGCGTTACGGGTGGCAACAGCAGGAGCTCACACTTCGTGGTTCTTTGACTCGTATGTTCGATCCAGATCTCCGAATCTCCGAATCCCAGCTCCCAGATCGGAGATCGGCCGGAAGTTAGTCCGCGTTTTTGAGGTTGCGCCGCATATCTGGCATCAAAGCCAGGTGGACAGGTGTAGGCGTGTTGCCCAGCGAGGGTACAGCAAGAGACAGGGACAGAGGACCAGGTAGCCAGGGAGTGTGCTGTAGAGACATGGCGGCTCCCTCGGTAACTGGTGTTCAGGTGGCACATCCTACACTACATAGTGAATCGTTCCCCTGTGCCTCCGACACCTGTCCTTCGCAGGTGCGTTTCGTGAAGAATCAACCAACCGTTGCGGCTTCGCGGCCGGTTGGCTTTACCTCTCCTCTGTGTTACAATCACCGCTCAGAAGTCGCCACGTTCGCTGGGGGGTTCACTGCAGAGACCGAACGCGGGAGATGTCAGGTGAGCTTCTATCTGTAAGATGTGCAAAGTTATCGTCGATCTTGTAAGGGTATGTTCTGCCTTTGGATACGCGGTTGCCTGTCCAGTTGGCGGGTGAGCCGTACCAACACAACGTCCAGTGTTCTTGGCGTCAACAGAACCTCCACCAGTTTTCTCACCGTTGGTTCTACACTGCGCGTCTTGCCCGTGGGCCCTCTCTGTAGGTCTCTCCAGACGAGAGAGACGGACATCACGGGATCCCGCACACGGCACAGAGAGCCTGGGAAGTTGCTTGAACTTGGGCTTTTAGACTACAACCGCTGATGTCTATGGCCGTCCTCCAACATCTGTACATCTATTTTGATACAAACACGGAAGTCCAGTTTTCCTGCACGAGTCACTCAATCTTCACCACTGAAGTCGCTTCAGCACATTCCCGCTTAGAGTCCTCCCGCACGAAGAATGCCCTTCTGTGATACCGGCACAGTGTACAGTTTTTGGAATCATGCTCTCTTCTACCGCAGCGGTATGTCTTCACCCACAGCCGACCTTAAACACTTGCGCAGCGTTCCGTTGCTTCTTCATAGTGTGTTATCTGCATTCCGTGTATCGCACGGGTTGGGTGTACAGCAGTGTCGGGACCACTGCAGCGTTGTTTGGTAGCAGCATATCCCGTTCGTCGCCACCACATGGCATGGGGAACATCTCTGCAATTTGGCCAGGATCCCGGCGAGACAATGTACAGCAGCAGCATATCAACCTACATAGTACCGTAGCATAAGACGGTTGGCTGACTTGCGAGTGCCAGGATTGAAGTCCGCACACCCTTGCTTTTGCCCCCCCTCTCATTGTCCCTGCTCGTCCCTCCACCCCCCCCCTGTTACCTCTTTCGCTCGCAAACTTCAGGAGGCCGGAGACGGGCACCGATCTGCCCCGGCTGAGATGGCCACCTGCTTGAGGTGTGCCGCTCGACCTCGCTCGTCGCACTTTTTTTTGCCCTATGTTTGTCTTGTTCTTTCTACCCTTGGACGTGGCGAACACCAGTGTATGGTTGAAATGATGATTCGCTGATCCCGATGTATGAGGCCGCGGCGTGCTCAATTTCTGATAATACTGCACTGTAGAACACAAGAATGATGAAAGTTGTCGATACCTTCATGCGTTGCGAGGGCTACTGCCGGGCGGTTACCCTTCGCGAAGAAGATGTAATTGGCCATGCGGCTCGTTTGCAGCAAGCCAAAGAAGAAAAGCTGTGAGTTTGCTCCTCCTGCTGTGATATCCACTGCCCCTCAGCCTTTGTTTCTGGCCGTGCGGCTGAGCATGCTCAAGCTTTACCTTTTCCCCCCAACTCCCACCGCCGGCCGCGCTGCCCTCTCCTCCTTCCCCCCTTCCCTTGGCCGAATTTCCACACACTGGTTTTGTCGTCCCTTGCATGTTTCTCCTTTCTGCAGGGCGACTCTTGTTGTCGCAGTGCAAACCAAGCCTGGGAAGCTGCCCCAACATCCCGATTGACCTGGCCGACAACAGCACTCTGCGAACCATGCCGATCCTGATGAAGCTCGGGTTTTGCGACATGGTCGATGTTCTCGAAGTGTCCACGTCTCGATACCGAACAAAATTGGGTGGTTGTAGATGTTGGTGCAGTTGGGAAATCATTGTAGTCGCTACTGGATACTGGATATCATGCAGATTGAGTGCTCTCTGCTGTTTAGGTCGAACAGCAGCTACACCATGTTGTTGGTTACTGTTTTGATTCGTTGCTGTTGGTAGTCGTGAGGATTGGCATGGACAAATATTGAGATGCACACCGTGGGCAACACCACGCTCTCGATCATCACTGAAATACCCCAGACATGATAGTGGACACATCGGGTACACGAAGATGTGAATGTGCGTGTTGTCCAATGAAATGTGATGAATCGTGGTTAGTAGCGTGAGGCCCAGAGGAAACAACGAGCTCTTGATGTTGAAAAACCTATTGAAAAATGTGCTTGGGCCGCCGTGCCCCCCCTTTCGTCCCCCCACCTCCTCGAAAGCCGTGAGTGGCTGTGTTTGTTCCAATTTTACTGTTTTTATGTTCAACCATTTGTTGTTCAGGATATGACTACAATGAGAAGCGCACTTACTCAGCGATAACTTTTTGGTCACACCTCTGCTTATACCGCATTACCACGGTGTATCTACCGCAAACTTTATTTCCCATGCGCGAATACCGTGCACGAATCAAACACCCCTCCAACCGTTCAGCCTCCTCTACCGGTCTGGTCTTCCTAATTTACCATTCGTGTGTGCATGGTCCTCTACGATGCGGCCTGCGGCCTGTGCACGTCTATGGCAGCGGCAAGGTCCACCGCGACACCAAGCCGGCAGACATCATCGTGATGATGAACATTTAGATTGGCAGCGCGACAGTCAAGGTAGCCGACGTTGGGCTTACGTGCAGTGAGTGGTGATGCGCAATAGTAGACATTCGACACCATAAAGAGTTCAAGTTTAGGCAGCAGCAGCAAGTACCTCATCAATTACGCGCAATGGATGCCCAGATGCCTCACGAAACATTGCAGAAACCCGGCTGCTGTCTCCATTGCTAGCCTAGTCGAAAGGCCTTGTTCCTACTCCCAGCTCCCCTAGCAATGGTCTGCATCGACATGGCGAGTGAAACAAAGGTCACGCCCTTTGTTTCACACACCATGTCGACGCAGACCACCGCTACGGGGGGGTGGCGTTAGGAAGAAGGTTTGGGACTAGGCTAGCAATGGAGACCACAGCCGTGTTTCTGCAAGGTTTCGTGCGTCGTCTGAGCATCGATTGCGTGTAGTTGATGAAGTACATGCTGCTGCGGCCAAACCTTGGACGCTTGATGGTGTCGAAAATACACTATTGGGCAACAGCACTCACCGCACGTGAGGCCAGAGTCGGCCACGTTGCCCGTCACGCTGCGATCCTACCTGTCCAGCATGGCGACGATGTTCGCGGGCTTGATGTCTCCGTGGACGATGCCTTTGTCATGGACGTGCGCCAGGTCGCAGGCCGCATCGTAAGGGATCCTGCGCAAACGAAGACCTGGAGGCTGAATGAACGCTGAGAGAATTACCGTAAACGTCGGAGTTTCCCCCCCCTAGTAGAGCGTTCCCCTCCCCCCATTACCTTTTCGGCCTGGAAGCATGGTTTCGTTGATTTAGCCCCGGGGTAGATCGTTTTCGACCAAAACAAGTTCCCCCGGGTATTTCAATTTCCTCCCGGGGTACCAGTATTCCCACGAGTTCCCCGCGAGGGGGATGTACTTCTCTAATTTTCTGAGTCGATTTTGTTGCATCGCGGAGCACAAAAAGCATGATATGGGTCGGAAAATTCATTTGTTTGCAGATCTGCGCTTAGAGCGAGATTTAGGTGTGCCGTTTGTCACTGGAAGGCGGGCCCTTCCTCTTCTTGGAATCACTTGCGGGACGAGACAAACTCCCTCAGCTGCTGTCCTCCTTGCAGTCTTATTTCTCTTCGCCTTCGTTGCTCTTACGTTCCTCCTCCCTCTGCTCGTTGAACGCTTGCTCGTAAACCTTATCCAACTCAGTTTCGCCACTCTCTGTGTGTTTGGTGTGTGGACCATCATTATTTTGCACAACCCCCCGGGGGGGGGCTTCCCCTCGGGGTAGCGTTGGAACCCCCCCCCCCCCCCCAGGGGTTACAAATGTCTCTGGAAGTGAAAGCACCCCAAAAAAAATTAAGTCATACGTAGCTGTCCTCCCTACCCCAGGAAATAAACCCATGATGCCCAAAACCCTTAGCAGGAGGGAGTTCACCCTTTATGGGACCCCCCAAAAACCCCACGGCGCTTCCCCCTTGGGGAAGTGAAAACCCGGGCCGGGGAAAACCCCGGGGGCCCCCTCCCGGTTTTGTAGGGGTTCGAGGTCA